CTCTCCAGGACAGAGGCAGGGACAGCTCTTCCAAGCTGGGCAAGAAGCCATCCTCCCCCCTCCTAGCCTGGCCCCACCCCAAAGACACCACAGATCCGGGAGGGAGTGTAGACAGGGCAGCCGGATGCCACTGTGTTGGCCCCAGGCCCAGCCCCTGGGGGCTCCTTAGAACACAGTGAGGGAGCAGGGCTGGCCCTTGTTCCCGGGATGAGAACCTTCACCTCTCCCAGATGTCCTGCTTCTTCATGTGATCCTCATTTTGAGGCTGTTTCATTTGACCTTCAAAAAGGAAGACCAACTCTAAGGCTGTCCTTGCCCCAGGACCCAAGTGTCCTACAGACCCAGAGTTCCCAGTTGTGCACATTGTACCCTGCACAACTCCAAGGGGTGCCACACATATTTGAAGTCACTGTTGACACTTGAATTCATGACAGTTTTCTGGAAGATGGCAATAAGTGTCTTGAAGAGGGGGATATTTCTAATTCACAAAGTCTCCTTTTGGGCTTGTGGTGAAAGCTGATCTCACCCAGCCAACCCCAAGCTTTTGGCTCCTGACCCTGCCCAGGAATTCTAGCATAGTGCCTGCTGCCCCTTACTCAGGGTTCTCAAAGGGAGGGCTTGGGTTGCCAGCCAGAGTCTTGGTCCCTTGAAGTGTTAATGTTAGGATGTGACAGTGGAAAGTGCTGTTAAAAACTCTCCAGCACTAGACAAACAGGAGATAGTCATCTATCAGCCAACAAATGTTTATTATTGTAGTATTCCTTTATTTCTGGCAAGAATGAACAACTTACTTGGCATCTTTACCAGAGTGTCCGCCAAGGAAGGCTAGGGTTGCTATTCCTATGAATCTGCCCCTCTTTGGTTTCTGTGTGTCTGTGTTTATGGGGAAGGGAAGGGGGAGGTTCTATGGTGGCCCAGTCTCCACCGAGGTGTCTCAGATTGAAATAGCTTGAAAGCTGCTTTGACTCTCCAGCTGGCCGGCCTGCCCTCTACTCTTAAACTTGTCCTCTCCCCTCCAATTCCAGGGGTTCCAGGTGTCCTTCCCCCACCCCACCTTGTGCTATTCTCTAAGGCCTGGCCACCCCCTTGGTTACCCACCTGTCAGTGCTGTGTGCACCCAGAGCTTGGATGGGAAATGGAAAATTCCCAGCTCCCTCGTGCTCCCTTCCTGGCTACAGGGCCTCATTCAAGGGTCACCTTGAAATGAGTGCTAATCCCCCCCCAAAAGTGAGTTGAAAATGACAACCACGAGAGAGGGCTTGACAATTGAGCATAAGGGCACAGGATGCAGCATGTTGGGGCCACCTACTCTGAGAGAAGGGAAGCTGGGAGCAGGATGACAGGGCTGGTGATCCTGCAGCACAGGGTGAGGGCTGGAGGGCTGGCCCTAGGGCTGAGGCAGCTGAAGCAGAAACTGGACAGGGGTGGGTTGTGAGCCAGGGGATGATGCAGGAACTTGGGGCCTGAGTGGTGGGGAGAAGGAGCCTTGGAGGATAGGGCAGGGCACAAAGGATGGTTCAGGCCCTGGGCCTCCAAGAGATAGCCTTGAGAGAGAGTCTGGTTCTGGGACCCAGACCCTGGCCCTGGAGACCGTTGTGCCAGGCCTGTGTCGACCTCTGGTGGCCACTTAACAAACTGCAGCCAGACCTGGTCTTCCCTCCCTGTACTCTGCTCCCAGGGGTCTTCAAAAAGCCTCTGCTACTATTCCTGGTGTCCCACCTCCAGCTTCACCTTTCCACCTTTTCTCAAGCCCTCGCTTCTTCAAGAGTCCAGACCCCAGAGCCAGGACCAGAGGCTGTGCTTGTCTTTTAGGGCTCTGGGCTTTCTGTTGCCGTGGTAACCTTTCCCATTCCTCCTGGCCCTCACCATGGGAGGTGGGAGACCCTCTGGCCAAGTACCAGGGGTGACCTATGATGTAAGCTTTATGTTGGCAAGGGGGTTGCTTACCGTCCAAGGAAGACCACAAGCACATCAAACACCCACCCCACCCCCTCCGCTGTCATCCCGGCTGAGAGAAGCTGAGGCCTTGAGGGAGGTCAGTGTTAGACCAGGGCGGCAGGATGGAGTCAGAGGTGGGGAGAGGCCTCCCAGCGCCAGGCTCTCCCTCAACCTTTACACCTCTCCTGGACCCACAGCCCCTCCCTGGACCAGGCCTGCCAGCTGACTTCCCTCAGCCAGGCTCCCTCCCCTCTGCTCTGGGACTAGTGCCAGGGTAAGAAGGGGACACTGGCACTGACTGAGTCTGGGAATTCCCGCCCACCATGAAGCCAGTGGGAGGGGGTCCCCGTGTCCCTGAGGAGCCAATAGCAGTCAGGCTTTGCCCTGGGGGTTGGTGTATATCTTTCAGACCAGCACCCCCTGGGCACTGTCTTCTCTCTGCCTTCCTGGCACCAGCCAGATACCACTCTGCCCGGGGGGCTCTGAGCCCCCCAGGCAGTACTGATACAGCCCTCTCCCTTTGTGGGGGGCCTGGGGATCCTTCCCCTCGGGGATGGCCCAGCCAGGAGTCTCTGTCAAGTCCCTGGTGTCATCATTTGAGACCCGAGTGGTAGGGATGGCTCCAGGGCCTCCCCGGAAAAGGGGCTGTGTCTCCTCTCCTTGCTCCCCTAGGGGAGCATCCCCCAACCGAGGGGCATCTGGACCCCCACCCCACCGGGGCCTAGGGGGGCCTGGGCAGAGACCCTCACCCCGCCGGGGGATGGACAAAACCCTCCTCTCCCTGATTCTCTACTGTCACAGGTACAGGCTGGGGTATGGGTGGGAGGCTGTAGCAATGGGGCTTGTGGAGGCCAGAGCCTGTTCTTAGAAACACCTGGAACGCAGCTGGCTGTGGTGTCCAGACACCTGGCTTGGCACCTACTCCTCCTCCTCACCTCTCATCTCTCTGTCTCTCTCTCCAGTGGCTCCGGAAGCCTGGTTGGCATTGACAACAAGATTGAACAAGCCATGGTAAGAAAAGCCATCTTTGCCCCAGGAGGTCCCTGCTCATGTGCTGATGCCCAGGTCCTGCCTCCGTTAGCTGGCCTGCTGCTCTACTCCTGCTGTCCTCATTATTAGGGAACACTGCCCTCCACCTGCTCCCAGCTGGGTTCCCATGGGCCCTCCACCCCTTCCAGTCTCCACCTGCACCCTTCACTTCCCTTGGTCTCTGACTCTGCTCCCCGCCCCATCTCTGTCTTTGAGCCCTACCTTGCCTCTGGCCTCTTCCCCTGTTCTCCCTCTACCTCTTCCCTTGTTTGCTTCTTCCCCAGTGGTCCCTCATTACCTGGAAGCAGGGCTATTTCTTGAACCCAGCCCTTTAAGTTACTGGGCAGGCAATGAGGTTGGGGTGGCCTGGGACCCCTGATGCTTTGCCTGTCCCCCAGGACCTGGTGAAGTCCCACCTCATGTTTGCGGTCCGTGAGGAGGTAGAGGTGCTGAAGGAGCAGATCCGGGACCTGGCTGAGCGGAATGCCGCACTGGAGCAAGAAAACGGACTGCTGCGTGCCCTGGCCAGCCCTGAGCAGCTGGCCCAACTGCCCTCCTCGGGGGTCCCACGGCTTGGGCCCCCTGCGCCCAATGGGCCCTCCGTCTGAGCCTCCCTTCCCTCACAATGTGCCTTTGGGGGCTGCTACAGCTGCCAGGCCTTGGGTAGCTGCCTGCCCCCTCTTCCTATGCAGCTTTAATTCCCCCTTATTCCTGGGGATGGGAGTTGAAGGCTCAGAATTGGCCTGTCCCCCAACCCTTCCTCTATCTCCCCTTCATGCCCAGGGACTGGGCTGGGACATCCCCAGGCCTTGATGGAGGAGGGAGGGCTTCAGGACTGGTTGTTAGATGGAGGTCCCTCCTCCCTCCTTAGGTGTCAGTGTTCTGGGACCCCAGCAGTAGATGGCTTGAGGGAGTTGGAGGCTTTCTGGCAGACACCCCATCCTTCTTCCCTGGAAGTGCCCCCTCTTCCCTGCCCAGGGGAGGGAGTATGGACAGCATCTGGAAGTTCTGGGATTCAGGTTATTAAAATAATAATTATAATTAAAAAAATCTGAAGAAACTTGAATCTGGAAGTTGGCATCTCGTTGCTTGTGTCCAGACAGTGGGGCCTGCACCAGCAATTTCTACTGTGGGAGAGGGATTAAGGCTGTAGGCTGCCCTGGAGATCTTGCCCTAACTGGGGAGGTTTAATGTGGCTCAGAGTGGTCAAAAGAGATGCTGGAAAGGGAGCTAGTGAGTGGCCTGCCAGGTCCTGGGAAAGGGGCAGGCAAGGCAAGGTGGAGGGAGGGAGAGAGGGTGGAGGGGGCTGTCAGCCCACG